ATATATATATATATATATATATATATATATATATATCTCCCAAAGAGTGAATAATTAACATGGAAATCCTCTTCTTCCCAGTTAGATGAAAACTTTCAATATTTTTTTGTTCTTGGTGAGAGAAGGAAATGATCAAAAGACATGCATTTCTAGCTTCCTCTATAGCTGTTTGTTGGGACTCCTCAGCTTCTTTTTAGATCTTATGACTAACAATCATGGTTGATTACAGGAAGTGGGAGACTTATGGGAAAGAGGTCTGTCAGCCTGCAGTCTGAACTATCTTCTTCTTAGCCTCTCTGCTATCCTTTCACTTCAGTTCCAAGGAAGATAGCAAAGACAAAGCCCTCCTTTCCTTTGTTTATTCTTGAAGAAAGCAGTGAGCAATTATAGTAATATTTTTCTCACTGTGAGAAAGTCCACCAAAAAACTGCATCATTTTAACACTATTTCCAGTTTGGGACATACTCCCTTCAATATCGAATGTGTTTTATGGTGAAACAAACATTTTCTGTGCAGAAAATGCTGTTTGTGTCCAGAATGAAGCTATAGTTGAAGCTTGTTCTTTGTAAAATTGGCATATGGTTTTCAGCACCTAAAACAGTATTTTCTGTTTACATGGTTTGGGTCCAGATTACCTAGAGGATTGCTTTCTCCCGTACAATCTGCCCTACACACTTAGGTCCACTGCAGGGCAGCTACTCCAATCAGCCAGAACCTAACTGGTGACCATCACCTGGAGGACTTTTTCATTGTCTGATGGAAGACTGTGGAACGGCCTGCTGGAAGAGCTTTGGCAGCTAAATGAGCTGTCAGAATTTAAAACACATCTGAAGACCTATCTCTTCCACCAGACCTTTCCAGCCAGTTTTAAGCATGAATTTTAAACTCATGTCCTGTGTTTTAACCTCTGTCTTGTGTATTTAATATGTATTTTATAGAAATATGTTTGGCCTCCAACTCCCAGAATTCCTGACCATTGGACAGGCTGGCTAGGGCTTCTGGGAATAGAAGGCCAAAACAGCTGGAGGGCACAGGTTGAGATGATGTGCATATACTTCTACAGGTTCAGCTGCAAAACAGATTTCTAGAGTTCAAAAGACATGTTAAGTTCACTGTTAAGGGGAAGTACTGTATGTTTGTAAATCTAGGGTCATTGGACTTAAATTACGATGAGATTTTCTTATTTTCATCACATCTCTCATCTATAATAACACTGAAAGAGGCACATAGAGAGCTTTTGTGTATTCTCCTCTCTGGTTAACAACCAGATCAATGTCTTATCAACTTCAGTGGGTTCCTTCATATACATATACTAAAAACATGTGATATAACCAAGGGCCTGTTTCCTGTAAATCTTGAAATTTTCCCAATTTTCTCAGGGAATTAAACTCCCAAGTTTTGTATGCCTATTGTATATATAAGTTGACCTCAGGCACAAGTCAAGGACAGGTTTTTGGGGTTAAATTGTGAATTTTGATATAACCCATGAATAATTTGAGGGTCATTCAATGAAGAGGAGAAAGTGCCAATTCCACCTTAGTAGGCTGCTACTCTTGACCTCTCTGACACTTTTCCTACCCAGGCCTTCAAAAACCCATTCCCCACACTACAAAAGGAAAATGACGATTCCTCTTCTTTTTGATCAAAGTTAAGGTACAGTATTAATTCTTATCAAAAATAGTTATCATCCTTTCTCTTAATAGAGGGACGAAAGCTTAGTAGAGGGATGAAAGCCCAGCTCCACAGAACCTACAAGAAGTACTGACTCTTTCTATATTTCTGCACTCCTTTAAGGGAATTGACAAAGACTCACCACCACCAAGCATCCAAAAGCCCATAGGTGTTGCCACAGCAGAAAAAAATAGCAGGGATCAATGCCTTTTTAAGGTTCTGGAACAGACTAAGCTCTCACTTGTTACTACTCTATTAAAAGAAGGGTAGTTTTTTTTAAAAAAAAATTAAAGTACAGTAATTACATTGGACCAATGGATAAATTACCTCAGTATTTTGGTTAATTTTTTATCTAAAATTTCTAGACTTATACATGTGTATGTACGGTAAGTCTGTTAAAGAAATAGCCTTCGATGCTCATCTTATTTATTTATTTATTTATTTCATGCATTTCTACCTGCCCTTCTCCCCCAGAAGGGGGTCTCAGGGCGGCCTCACATAAGCATGATGTGATGCTGTCAGAATATAACAACAAAGATTACAGTTAAAACAGTAAAAATAGCTAAAAACATTATACAAATTCATTCACAGTTCATTAAACAATAAACATGCCGATCTTCCCATTGCTGTTGGGAGCAAGTAGTAATATCTTGGGGAGATTTTCAGACTATTTTTCACACTATATGTTCATGATTATTTCCACTGCACAATACTACATTATATGGCATTGCAGATGGGGCCTTAGACTGTAGAATTGCTCATTTCTAATACTTCTCAAATGGACAGAAATTCTGAGTAATGTACTTACTCAATAGTATACAAACAATCTGAAGCAAAGGCTAGTTAATTGTCTCTTCATCAAAGACTAATTGAATAATATTAGAAACAATAAGTATAAGCATGCATGCATAAATGTGCATAACACACACATATTACTCAACTGTTGTTAAATGTTTTCTTTTCCGTTGAATTATTGGAACAAAATATAGTAGTCCAACGACATAAAGACATGAATGGGAATCTCACAGGTCAACCTAAGTAGCAGCTTTAATAAGTAATGAGACATGGGTAGATCCCACAATCAGCTAACACGCTCTGTCCAGGGTCCCTCAATGTGTTAAGGAAAACTCTGAAGATCACTAAACACATTAAATTAAGATGTTGGAAGTGAAATGAATTGTACATTTTCCATAACCCATCTCCAGTGACACACTGGAGTTGTCTTTCTTAAAGCTATTAAGGCAGTTTTTCATATACATAGTTCAGTACTTTGGCGCACAACCAGAGGTGGAGAAAGCACAACTGAACCCCCGCCCCCCAAGGAGACAATCCTGCACCAACTCTAAAAGAAAATAGTAGTCATTTCAGCTTCTTAGAGATATACACAACTTGTCCCCTGGGGGCTCAATATTGACCCTTGGAACTTTCTATTTATCCTTCAAACTCAAGGTATTTTTTCTTTTTCCACTTCAATTGCTCAAAGGGGCAAGAAATATTTATAAAAATGCTTTACATTTTTGGCAGGAAAGTTAATCAATAACAACAATAGCAGTATAAGATCTTTTGGAATAAAATAGAAACTGACTGATCCAAAACACAGGCTGAGGGGACTTTGAACTTTATGCTCTCTCACTTCATCTGTCTCAGACTCAGAATCCTGTGTATGACATCAAATGACAGAGGAGATGACAGAGAGCAGCCTGTAGCACACAAACATGAAATCCTGTTGTCATTCTCAGATTTGTCAGTGGTACAGCTGATCCTGCCCCTTCATTTTTTTAGCCCAGAAGAAGAAATGCCAGCTACTAAATTTTAAGAACATAGATGGACAAGGCACAATGGAAGATGAAGCTTCCTTTGCACCCAGTGCATGCAGACCATGAAATGAAGTGAAATGGTACCACTTCTTCCCAAAATCAGTTCAGTGCAGAGACACTTTGGTTACTAACATAGCAGAATATTTTTCAATAAAATAAATTTAAGTACAGTGCAACATGTCTAATAAGGTAACAGCAGGCAGTCCTCTAACAATGCATATTTCTAGTGCCTTTTACCATTTTGATGATTATCTTTCATCAATTTTTATACCCACAATTCAGAAGGTAAATGCCAACATGGAATCAATGCTCTCCATCTCTTTTCTCCCTGCTTTTTACACACCTCTCATTTGGGTCGATAGGATTTTTTTTTACCCATTGTAATTTATTGCTGTTGCTGATGAAAGAATAAAGTGGGAACTGGAGAGTGTAATCAAAGCTAATAGTAAGGCCAAATACCATGTGATAATAAATCAGCAGGAAAAATTACACTGGAGATAAATGGAGGTGTTTACCATTTTGGTTTGAATACTGCCTGTACAACAAACTATTTGTGTAAAATACAATCCTGCTCAGGGGAAAATAGCACATATCTAAAACAGAACAAAAAACTGCCTCCTGTCTAACTCTTTGTTATGCAGATCTGAGCTGAAGATGGTGTGAGAAAGTGACACCTTCTCAACTTCTTTACAATCATACTGGATTCCTTTGAAATGTAAATTTGCTTTTACTTTAAGATAACTAAATTCAAGGTTTTTTAGAGTCGTGACTTACATTTTTAAATCTTATGTTTATGTTAAAAGAAGTATCTTCTGTTTATATCAGTAATGGGCACCTGTCAGAAACCCAACATGGACACCAAACCCATTTAACACATCTAGTACCCCCAAATAATTTTGCCCTCAAATATCCTCTAGTGGGTCTAATTTATTATTTGGACATTAATTTTCTCCTTTTTTGAAAGTAATGTTTCCGGGCTCTGGTTCTGGTAAATTATAATCAACATTGCTTTGAAAGGAAGTCAGAATAACCCATTGTAAATGAAGTAAACTTCCATTGGTCTTAACGAAGGCGAGAATTACAGGAATGATGTTACTAGTCAATAAGGCTATTTCTTCAGCTAATTCAGAGGTCTTCTTTACTTAGAAACAACTCTCTCATGTCTCTAGCAGAGACAATTCTCTTCTGCGTCCTCAGGCACAAATTCATATCATATGCTATTTCATTGTTTTAACTGAAGATACCAGGAATGGAACCAACCATCTTCTGCATGCTAAACATGAGTTCTAACACAGTGTTATGGTCTCAGTCAATACTATGTTCCTGCAGCATTCAGTCTGAAAAACTGCCCCACCACTTACTGAAAGCTGTGAGAAGCACGAATGCATTGTAATTCTCTGTTTTATAACTCCCCAAGTTCACATTTTGAGCAAAGTATCTAATTACAGCTATAACCACTACCATCCATCAAAACAGCACACTATATATTTTATTATATAGTTATTACAATACCTTCGGATACTGTTTGACGGGAATCAATACCCTTTCTGACAGCTTTATATTTTTGTTGCTGATGACATCAAGGTATTTTTTCTCTTCATCTTCCTTCTTCTCATCAGAACTCTGAAACTTTTCAATTTCTGGGAAGAGCAAACAGAAAAAGTGTTCTACATTAGAGTGCTTTTTAACAGTTATTTTGTTACTTTGAATTTATATGGTTATTATTACACACATTCAGATTTATAAAAACATATTTAGCATCTTTTCCACATTAAGTGGTACTGGTCAATTATCAAGATGTGATCCAGTTGTAAGGTGGTTTCATGAATGACTTCCATTGAACATTCAGCATTCAGACCTGCTGTTGGGTTTAGAACAGTAGTTCTCAACCTTTGGGTCTCCAGGTGTTTTGGCCTGCAACTTCCAGAAGTCCTGGCCAGTTTAGCAGCTGTTAGGGTTTCTGGGAGTTGAAGGCCAGAACATCTGGGAACCCACAGGTTGAGAACCACGGGTTTAGAAGCTAAGCACTAGAAAGCTGCATTTAAATGTAATGTTTCAATCAAGCCAAGGGAAAAACAAAACAAAACAGAATCATGTTGTTTTTATGAAGGATTCACCAATCTGTCAATCCACTTGTTAATCACAGAAGATCACTATTTGTGTCTAAGGACACATAGGGCCATGTATTTTACTAGAGCCTAGACCAGGGCTTCTTTACTCTCAAAAAATGTGTACATGAACCCACATATATAGATAGATACAATAAGTATAAAAATCAAACATTTATTGATAATCTGCATTCACAAGGCTTGCTAAACAGGTTGATTTTCCTTTCTTATGAAGTACAGCTGAAGCATTTTCTACAGAGTCCACTGTGAACATTGCACATTTCTATTAACAGATTCTGTTAACAGTCGTGGGGACATAGCCTTCCAAGGGAACTAATGTGAACTCCCAACTCCTCTTGGCTGCCCATCCTTTCATTAAAGACATCTCTAAAACTGAGTTGTTCAGTGGCTCAAACAAGAACCAAAAAGAACATTTCTCCCAAGATGGTAGTGCTTTCCAATAACTAATTTTCTAAGTATTGTCTCTGTGGTATCATCATTAGAGGAAATGGGACTAAAAAATATTTTAGAATCCCATCAGGGAATGGGGCATGTCAATCCATGGTGATCTCTACGGTCTCTAGTAGCCTCCTATACTGTCTCTTCTGACTTGTGTGGCTCTAATTTAATGTTTTGGACATTGGATCAATATTGCGAAATACGGGCAGACTCTCCTAGGAAAACAAGTATTTTTAATTTATGAGTGGAAGAAATATGCCACTGAAGCTTTGATTCCACACAGGGGGTTGACTATTAGAGGACAAAGGAAGCGTTGGTGACCTACAGGGATTCAGGACGTGGAAAAAAAAAGAAAAGGCACACTCCTTCATCCTCAGTGTGCAGGACACACATATTTATTATAATTTCAACCTTTGACAGGCCTCAACCAGAGCAAAAACAAGAAAACCCAATGTGATGAAGCATTGCTTTTTAACTGTAAGTCAAGCATAGTTATGTATATGTGCCTCTAGAGTTAAATATGATTGTGTGTGTGTGTGTGTGTGTATGCTTAGATGGTTGAATATTATTATATGACAGTTATGGATGTTCATAAAGGGTTAACCATTTAGAAATGGCAGAACTAGGGGGATGGGACCAAGCTCAGCACTCTGAGTTAGGTTGCCATGGAGAAATGGGTGGAGCCAACTGCATTTACCAGAAGCAGACATTTTGAGGCTTCAGTTCTTTGGTCATCAAGCCAAAGGGAAGGTGGTTCAAATGTGTGATGAACCAAACTAAGGGAAAGCTTTTAGCCTGAGTGATTTAAATAAGTCAAGGGGACTTATTTAGATTTGTGGTTTAGCTGTGTGCTAATAGGAGAAGAAATCCCACTGGGAATCTCTACTTCAGCAGGAAGCTGAAGGGAGACAAGGGCATTAGCTGACCTTAGTTAATCTGTCAAATAAGGAAACATATTTAGAAGTGTAACAACTAAAGAACTAGTTGGTGAAGTAAAAGACATCCTAAAGTTATATTAAGATTTGTTGAAACTGTAACTCGTAAAGCTTTATACCTCAGGAGAAGAGAACTCTGAAACCATTAAGACCCTTCCATACTCTAAATAAACTTGTTCTTGTTTTAGTAACCCAAGTCTCAGGGTACTATTTCAAAGAAAAAGGAAAGGAAACCTCGCTACACACTAAAAGAAACACTACAGAGTAGTAGCAGTGAATCTATTTGAAAATAGGGGAATCCATTAATAAACTAAGTAGGAAACCCTTATTAATTGGTGGCAGCATAGCCTAGTACCTCACAGATGGTGGCAGCATACTAGATTGAATAGAATATCAGAAAACGAGGAGGAAGCCTTTACACCCAAGTCTTTATCCTTGAGTCAAATTAAACTCTTTGGAGCAAAATGATGAACAAGGCAAGATATTCTGTTGCCCTATTTCTTTGCCATGTCATTCAAACACTAATTATATTTAATAATGATCTAGAAACCCAAAATGTAATTAAGAACCTACTGAAGCAACCAATGCACAATTCTTCTTGTGTATAAGTTTCCCCTGCATATTTGTTGATCATATACCAGTCCATACTGCAGAAAATAAAGCCTGTCTGCTCATTGGAGGAAAGGATATTAGAGGCAAAGATGAAATACTTTGGCCATATCATGAGAAGACAGGAAAGCTTAGAAAAGACAATTATGCTGGGGAAAATGGAAGGAAAAAGAAAGAGGGGCTGACCAAGGGCAAGATGGATGGATGGTATGCTTGAAGTGACTGGCTTGACTCTGAAGGAGCTGGGGGTGGTGATGGCCGACAGAGAGCTCTGGCATCAGCTGGTCCATGAGGTCATGAAACAACAACATGGCAGCTTTATATTGGCCTTTCTCAAGCGTAAAAAGATATCTTGCCTATTCTATTTTCTTAAGAAGCTGAACATTGACAGGACTTTCTCCTTTATCCGTTTTTGTTGCTGAGCCTGCGTCTGCACCCTTATGAATGCTACATCCCTGCTAAGGGACTCCTGATAATGAACCAGAGCCTGCTGAGTTGAATGCAAGAACAGCAGGGAATTTTCTAAAAATGCTGAAAAGCTTACTTCCCAGAAGATAAACCGTAATGTGTGTATACATGGGAGAACAAGACAATTTTTTTCTGTGAAAGAGTTCTGGAGACATAGGCCCCTTCTGCACTGCCATATAATCCAGATTATCAAATCAGATAATCCACATTATCTGGTTTAAACTGGATTATATGAATCTACACTGCCATATAATCCAGTTCAAAACAGATAATCTGGATTTTATATGGCAGTGTAGAAAGGGCCATATCCTCCAAATGTCATCCTTTGGCAGGACAGTCCCAATTCACCCTCTTTCATTCTGCTTTTAAAATGCCCAGCTTCTCTTTCCTTCTCCCACCAGTCCTCAGCTTTATACAGCTGCTGCAAATGATTTCAAGATACTGAATTAGCAAATGACAGAAGAGGAAGAAAATTCTTGTGATTTCCAGAAGGTTTAGGCAAAAGCAAGCTGCTGCAGCATCTCCAAGATAGAGTGTCTTTCCTCATTAATAACTTGCCATCTCTGATGTTGCTTGGCCACACTTCTGTTTTTCATCTGTGATATTTAAGAGGGCATCTGGAGAGCCACAGTATCTTTAAAGTGCATGCTTATTTAGAAATAAGGGAGCAAGGAAGCACAGCAGAGGACCTAGTCTTAAAGAAGTATCAATCCCTCCAAAGCAACAGTGCATCTCCAAAGCAACAGTGCACCTCCAAAGTCAGACATGCTCAAACTGCAGCCCTCCAGCTGTTTGGACCTCCAACTTCCAGAATGCCCGACCATTGAACAAGCTGGTGAGGGCTTCCAGGAATTGGAAGCCCAAATAGCTGGAGGGCCACAGTTTGAGGATGCCTTTCCAAAGCAGTCTGCTTACACAAACATATGTAACTTCAGAAAACAATGATCAAAAACATTTAAAAAGGCAATTACTGACAAAATCTGAGCCCTTCTTCAGAAAAAAAAACACAGGGGGTTATCTCATCAGGCATTTATCTCTTTACACATTGCAACGGCCCTTTACATGTGAAATAAAAATGTCCTGAACAGGAGAGCCTATTCTACAAAGTTCTCTCTGTGGTCTATCACCTTGTAGAGCGGGGTGTCAAACTTATTCTCACTGAGGGCCACATCAATCCTATGGTTGCCTTGATCTCCTGTTGTCCTAGTCCAACCAAATCACTACGCATGGAGGCTATTCCCACAATTGCCTCTATCTTCACATAAAATGGTCTGTGGAAAATGTGTTCTAGCTTGCACTGGGATCCTTCGTGGGTACTGAGTCTGCCCACTGCTCACAGTTCTCAAAGTGAGTACAGCTAGAAAAATGAAATGGAGCTAGCATGCCATCCTTGTTCTTCCCATTAGTCTTTTCACATTTTTATAGAACTAGTTGAGAGGAGGAGGAGGTGAGAGCAGAGAAAAATAAAAGGGAATTGTAAAAAGTACGGTATATGCACTTTACAAAGAATTATTTTACTGCCACCATGTCAATAGAAGGGAACTAATTATACTTCACTTTACTATATTTGACATCTATTACAAAATTCACATCACGAATATAGGTTTTCCCATTAATAAGTCACCCCCTAGCAAAAACATCCCTTTGCTACATTTTGAAGCATGTCAAAACTCATCAAATAACAAATGTTCTTCTCACCAGCTTTTCCAGTCTGCCATAAACTGCAGTGCACTTTCCCAAGCTGTTAGCATTTGGGTCTACTTCAGTGAAGAAATGCAAACATTTACTTCATTTCTCTTCAGTCACTGCCGACCCCCAAATGACTTTGGATATTAGGAATGTCAGTTGTTTATAACAACCCTGCATCTCCAAATCATTTTTTTCTTTCATCTGTGAGTTACGTAATTTGGCTCTTGTGAAGCTATATCTAGATGTTAAACATTTCTAGGATTAGGTGTTTTAAGGCCTATTTGCAGCAGAAATGTATTTCTATATCATTGAACCGTCTTGGGGTGGATCTAGACAGCCCTTTATCCCACAAACATCTGTGTTTTAAAATGC